ACAGGTGGGGAGGGGGGGGCCTGGGAGGAGACCCTGCCTCTCCCCACCCAGTGCACAGGGGACTCTGTAGGGGGCTGGGCTGCCCCTGTGCACTTTGGGGGGGGGCCTGTCAGTCTAGGGGGGTGAGGGACCCCCGGTCTCTGCCAACTTCCAGCCAGACCCACCACCATGGTGAGTGGCTCTCGATCCCTTTCTCTCTACATCTCCTTAGTGCCCACCCACCAGGTTACAGGGTGGCCCTTGGGTGGGTGGAGTTGGTTGCACCCCCGTGTTAAGAGGGGCCTCACTTTAACCTCTTCTCGGGGTGGGCAGGTGGGTAGGCCCTATGGAGCAGGGACCTGTGTGTTGGTGGTGGTCACAACAGCTGTAATGTGATGCTAGGCCTGGTGGCGGGTGTGGGGGAGGAGCGTGTACATTTTGGGGTGTTTGATTCCTCTTTGATATACAGACTCAGAGGATGGCCTAATAGCAACCGTATGTATGTGTGTGTAGGGGGGTGCGGGGTGTTCCTGGCAGCTCTTGGTCTGCTGCTTGGTTTGGGGTGTGGGGATCTGCTGTCCTGGGCTATCGTTATTTACCAATAACAGCAACCCCGGCCCTTTTATATGGTTTTGGGGGTGGGGGTGAAAGGGGTGTTGGTGAAAGTTGAGTCCACTTAAACAAACTAAGAAAGCTTTAACAGGCCTTATCTGGAGGTGAAAGTTGACTCGGGCTGTTGTTTTTTTTCCATCTGAGAATGGCTGCCTCCTTTAAAAAGCTGCTGTTCCACTGCTAGCTTGAAAGTGGCTATGGAGTGGGTTGGCTGCTTGTTTTGGTTCTTTTTTTCTTGTTTTGTGAAGCTTAGAAAAACCACAGGGGCCAGTTTTTTCCTCTGCTGGGCCCAACTTTGCTGCAGTCTAAGTGGGGGATTCTGCTCAAATGTCTCAAATCCCTGTAAAGATGAGGTCGTGGGTAGTGCAGTAATCTGTGAGTCCAGGCTGGGGTCAGGTCCCCTGCAAGAGAGACTAGCAAGTAGCTGGGGAAGTGTTTTTCCTTCCAAGGCCTTGCCTAGCTCCTGCAGTTGCTGTTTTATTATCTTTTTTTTTTGGTGCAGTTTTTTCCTTTTGGATGTTCCAAAAAAAAATGATTGGAGATGTCCAGTTTTTCAGAGGTGAATCAGAGACCCAGAAGGTGGCCCCCTTAGTCCAGTGCCTGGGCTAGTAGATTTTTTTTACACTGCTTTTGCAAACTTTAGGAGGTTGGTCTGTGGCACATGTACATGAAACTCCTTTTTTCACTCTTGGTGGCCACATGGCAGGTTAGCGAGCATCTGAAAGGCTGTCAGATCAGCATGTAACGGGGCTTTCAGTGGCCAGGTCCATGCCTGTAATGCCTGCTTTTATTAATATTTTGCTCTCATGGCATGTTTGCTTTTAGATGCAGCTGCAAACAAAAGCTGGGTTTTAAGATTTGAGGTGCCTCCAAGAGGCCTGAATTATTAAAATCTACATGGCCTTTAAAGCTCGGAGGCATCTGGAAATGGCCAGCTGCAGCTGAGGCATCATGGCCTAATTTTTTCCAGGTCTTAGGCCTCTGTTGTGGGGACAAGCACCTAGAGTGCGTGTATTTTTATGGTTGAAAAAGGCAGGAAAGTGGGAGATATTCATCCCCTCTGTATGGTGCTGGCTTCCAGCTCCTTCCTGTTGGGGAAGGGACCAGTGGTTGAGCCCCAGGCTAGGCCCATAATGGGAAGGGCCTGGTGGTAGAGAAAAGGGAACGGAGTGCAGCCGGAGCTCTTTAAGAGATCTCCTGATGCTCCAAGTGGCCCCTAGCTCCACTGCAGTCTTTCCCTGCCTTCTGGCATTTTCACAGGTCACCTGGGTTGGGGAACAAGGGGGTTTTGGAAGGGGAGGTTGTGGGGAAGGGGGGGAGGTTGGCAGGCTGTCACCACAGGAGTGTGTCAGTACTCAGGCCTGTGGTGGATGAACAACAGCTGCTGGCCGAAACTTCTCTGCTGAGGCTTTGTTGGCTTTGCCGGAATCTCCTGTTTGATGTGGGAAGGGGGCTTCTGACTTGCCTTCTTCTCCCAAATGCTTTTTCAGAGGCTGGGGGCTAGCTGAACTCTCCCTCCTCAAAGAGAGGACAGGCTGGGCTGTTTCTCTCACAGACCTGATCCAACAGATTAGGATTTGGGAGTCCTTGGAGTCTGAATCCTGGTTTAGTTGCAAAGAGGGGGTGGAATTTGGGGGTACAAGGTAGGCAAGGGAAGATGTGGAGGGAGAATGGGGTGGGGGTACTGGGGCCTCTTCCACCTGATGCTTGCTAGGGTCCATGGCCATAGGTCCTTTTCCTCTACCCCCTCCCTGAGTTATGACTGAGATGTGAGGGAGCTAGGTTGCAGGGGCAGGCCTGTAGCTGCGTGGGGCTGCCCAAGTGAGACTGCCTGATGGCAGGGCTCTGGTCCCATTTTCAACCCCCCGCCCCCCTCCATTCTGAACCATTCTGCACTGTCGAGTTCCCCTTCCCTGATCTGGAGCCTTGTCAGGGCCCCAGTTTTCAGCTGAGACTTTAGGGGAGTGTCAGATGTAAGGCAGACCGTTTGCTGAGATCAGTTGAGGCTTCCTGAGCCTGGGGAGCTTGCAGGAGACTGCTACCTGCAACTTCCTTCCAGAAATAACTTGGGTGCCTTGGCATCAGGCAGGTGGGGGGATGTCCTCCTGTCCTCACTCACCAGTGCTCCCAGCTGCCACTATCTCATGGACTTGGCAGCAGTTAGTCTGGCATCTTGCTGGTTTTCTCCGTTGTGTTGTCCCAGTCCAGCTTGGGGGTTGACCAGTGTCATCTGCAGTGGGGGAGGGGGTGGCTGTGGTTTTGATCAAGGTGATCAGAATCATTGAGCCTGATGTGTACCAATTACATTCCAAGGGACCTGGGATTTGCAACAACAGCAGGTCTGGTGGGGAGTGGGGTGGGGAGGGAGGATTGGTGTAATCCCTTGCAGAGGTGCTGGATCCCAAATAGATGCCTGTGCATCCTCCACCTGGAAATCTCCAGGAAGGGAGGCTTCCCCAGGCTCTTGCTCCAGTGTCTGGACAACTTAGAACTAGGAAAGCATTCTACTGCAGTTGATTTCTATCCCTCCACCTCCTCCGGGCCACACAGCCAAGAGCTTCAGTCTTGCTTCATGGTACTTAGGCACTTGCCACTCTCAGGATGGATATGGGGCTTTGCCCTGTGCTTGCATGGACTCTGATCAATTGCTATACAATTGGTCTGGTTTCCCAGGCAGTTGGTGATCTGGATCTCTGCTCCTTACAGCAGGTGCTGACTCTGGGATCTTGGCCTGACTAGCAGCACACATGGGCATAGCAGGGAGCTGGAGGGCATGGGGAACACGGTCCTTTACCAGTAAATGCTCACAGATGAGCAGCCCTGTGCATGCCAAGTGTGTAGAGATGGACACATCCTGTTTAGGGATTCTGTGCTGGGCATCTTGGGCATGTGGGATGGCAAGGGTGCCCAAGAATGGCTTGGGACACTTCGAGAGAGGGGCATAAGTTTTATAGTTGTCCTAGTGCAAGGTCACTGAGTATAGTCTCTGATGTACCCCCCCCCCCGTTTGTTTTCACCCTTGTAGAACTCAAATGTGGAAAACCTGCCGCCCCATGTCATCCGCCTGGTCTATAAAGAGGTTTCCACGCTGACATCAGACCCACCTGAGGGCATCAAGGTCTTTCCCAATGAGGAGGACATCACAGATGTCCAGGTCACCATCGAAGGGCCTGGTGAGGCTCCAGGGGGAGGAGCGGTATACTGCCTTCAGGCTGTGGGGAGGGGCTGCCTCTCGTCTTGGCTAGGGATCCCCTCTACTTACCATAGGGAGGAGTCGGGAGGGACTCTTCCCAGGGAGGAGGATGCCACAGGCAGCAGCCAGCCCTGGCTTGTACTGGGCTTGACCCTATGCCTGACCTGACACACAGATGGGGGTGTGGGATGCTGTCATGTGGGGTGCCTTGCTGCCAGCCTGATTCTTTGTGGGGGGAGGGGGAGCAAGACTGTACAAGGGATGAGGGCATCATGAGACGAGATGCTCTGTAATTTCAATAGGAGATGCAGTTCTTCACTGGTAGCACTGTACTAAGTGGTGGGGGGGGTCCCTGTATAACCAGCCCCTGATGTGCCCCACCACAGAGGCAGCTCTTAGTGCTGGGTGAGATTTCCCTCATCCTGTCAAGCCTGTATGAGGAACAGCAGGGGCCTGTTTTCATCCACACCCTCACCTCCCCCAGCCCATGGGGTTGTTCCTGAATCCTTTATACGTGAGGTGCCACTGCTGCCATCCATCCCAGGGAACCGTGTCCTTGGCTGCAGCACCCCTGATGCTGAGTCCTGGCCCTTGAACCACAGGGTTCTGGGATGTAAAGACCCCCAGGGGTTTGTGGGGGAGAGAGCTGTGAATTCGCTGTGCAACGCTCTAGACCTCACCCATTCTCCTTTCTTGTGGCAGAGGGGACCCCATATGCTGGCGGTGTGTTCCGCATGAAGCTGATCCTGGGGAAGGACTTCCCTGCTGCACCACCCAAGGGCTACTTCCTCACCAAAATCTTCCACCCCAATGTTGGTGCCAACGGTGAGATCTGCGTTAATGTCCTCAAGAAGGACTGGAAAGCCGAGCTGGGTATCCGGCATGTACTGCTGGTGAGTGCAGGGTACCAGGGGATACTGCTGTGGGGAGCAGAGTTGGTGGGGTTAGCCTCTTGGCCTTTCAGATCGGAGGTGAGAATCTCTGTGGCCAGTAGTTTGTTCCCTGCAGCTATTAATGCAGCCTTAAGCCATTCCCAAGCTCTTATTGGTGATGGCGGGGGGCGGGGGTGTCATGGGAGGAAGAAATATAACCTGGTTTAGGGAGTAGTAAAGAACTCCTTGTATGGAGTAGTTCATCCTTTGAGGAGCTTTACCATTCGCAGGTTCTGAAGGTGGTCAGTCTGTATTCAAACTACTTCTGCAGGTGGGAAATCCCTGCATGAGGAAAGCAGCTGCATCTTGGGAGGACTGGAGGAGTACTGTTCATATAAGTTCATACAGAAACCCCTTACTGGCACCAAGATGCAGCTGCTTCTGTGGTGGGGCATGGGGTTACAGAGGGACCCCTCAGCATGTGCTAAGGTGCAGCTGTCTCTTGGGTGGGGCATTTTGGGGTTTACACTGGAACCCCTTGCCAAAGTCTTACTCTGTGAGCAGCCTCATCCTGTGCCAAAGGGGAATTGAATACGTGTCTTCCCTGTCCTATCCCAGAGGTCTTCCTCCAGGCCCCACTTTTTGGGCTATAGGCGTATCCCTAACACCTCCATGCTTGAAGGGTAGGGCCTTGGGACTGCCAGGCTGGGGCTAATGCCCAGTTCCCCATAGCTGCTTCAAGTGACCTTAAGTGGTGTTCTCAGCCTCTTCCTCAGTTTCTCCATCATAAAACAACAGCTCTTGCCCCTGGTAGGAGAAGGGATAGGCTGAGAGCTGCCTTGATGCCCTGGGGGTTGGGGGTGGACTTTGGTAAGCTGCCAGGGGGGCTCCTGATAAGAGCTAGGACTAAGAGTGGCTCCCCTCATCTCCAGAGTAAGAATTAGACATGGGCTGTATGACCAGGGTTGCAGGATTACTTGAGGGCCTTCAGAACCAGCTGGGATGGGAATAGGGGTATCCTCCCACTGGGCTGTGGCAGGTGGTTGGGAGAAGGGGATGCATCTCAGAGCTCCAAGCTTCTATCTTCCTACAGGTAAGAGTCTTGGCAGCAGTGAGGGGCTGGGCCTGGTCACCTAGGAGGGCTGCTTGAGGGGCTGATGGGACTGTGAGTGAGGTTGGTTTTCCCTGTAAGACCCCAGACTTGGGGGGGGGGGGGGGGGTCGGCTCTGGAGGCGGCG